TTGTAAGAGGTATTCAAGTGATCAAAAAAGCTAACTTGCCCAATAAAGGGTTAAAGTGCAGTGAAAATAATATATTATTATTTTTATAAGAAATATGCAGATCAATACTCTACCTTAAGCACCTTTAGTCATGAAGTAAGTCAGCACACTCAACGTCAACACAGCAGTCCAAGGTTTGGGGTATAGGAAGATGAAAAACAATTAGACAACAAGAGAAAATCTGTAACTTGTGAAGTTGTTAAAAAAAACGTATGCCTGAAATGTTTAGACTCTCTCAAAACACGACAATGTGATCAAAATGTTGGGTCAAGGCCTGCATGCTCCATATGAGTGTAATTCACTCTGGCCTGAATATCACACAACTCTCAATTAATGAGTTTCAAAACCCCTGAGAAGTCCTCACAGGTTCATCCCATTTTAAAGTTCCTACCAGTCATACACTATTCGTCAAAAATCACCCAAGAAAACAAGTTCTGCCTGGAATATGTGTCACGAACCAGCAGCAAAAACTCTCAAAGCAAATCTGAAAGATGTGTTTTGTTCTTGCAGCCCTGGGAGACAAAACAAATCATTCTGTTCCTGTGGACTACAGTATGTATCAGGCTTAGGTCCCAGAGGAAATTAAAGGGTTTGATTATGACTGGGATTTTACCATATATTTTCAGAGCTAATACAGTCTTTCTTCATCATTTCAGAAAATAGAAGTGCAATATTGAGCTGTATAAGTAATGAAAAGGGTAAAACTATGAATATGCAGCATTTTTCTAGTTCTACAATATGGACACTTTTACCATAATCATCAATTTCTGCTATAAAGCTAAAGGTAGAATTTTTCTATTTTATTTTACAGGATCAATAAAATCCACCCAGGAATTGCTTTAGCTGTTAATGCTATGTACTTAACGAAGGAACAGGTGATTTTAAAACAAGATAATTTGGTTTACATTGGTAATCTAAATGGGTCGCCTAAATGGGTTAATGGTAATGATACTTTATTGTTTAGATATATTCTTGGTCCGATTTTCTTTGGGTATTTTGATGTCACCAAATAGCGTTTTCACTTTTGCAAGTCACTGAAATGTCTTGATTTTTTTTTTCTTCTGGTATAAAGGAAATGAGGCTGAAATAGGAGCTGATTTAATCTCCAGCTCCTTTTTTTCAGCAGGTTTAAGCTTCCATAAGACTACTGGACCAAACTAAGCTACATGCAATTTCAAATTATGACAAATTACTGCTAATAATCCATGAAGCACATTATTCTTGGAATGTCCCAGCTTTGTTGTCCCTAATATGAATGCCTTGATCCTAAGAAACAATCAGATTTGAGCCTCCTCTTTAAAGTTCAACTTATTTCTGTTTTCAAACATGTTTACAGGTCTTTAAACATGATCACAATTAAATTTAATTTGGTTCAGTTTTTAAATTAGCAGCTCACAGAAGAGGCTGTTCCAGGTACACCTTCTGATAAAGGTCTGAACTGTTCTTTCGACCTCCTGGAATGGTGATCCAAGGCCTATAATAATAATGACATTTAAAACAGAATTTGGTGCAGAAGATGTAAATTAGTCATGACTCGTTTGAACTAACACAAACTGCTGTGTACCTCAGGCTCGCTTGTTCCCCCAGAGTCTTACATTCTCTTAAAGGGATACTGTGTAAGAACTACTGCCATCTAGTATTAAATGGGGGTATTTCACTCAAACCAACACTAAAACCAAACATGTCACTACCTCAAACACGCTTTGTGTCAAACGCAGGTGTAACCATATCATCTGATACTTCATGAAGTTCTAACAAAGTTGAAATAGTTCATGATTGCTTAAATTATGTAAACTTTATTATAAGATAAAACATTAAAGAAAACAAAAAAAAGTGCACAGACACAGCAGTAAATTGTATGTTTACACAGTTTCAAAAGCTGTGGTCATGGAGGCTGACTGAACAGTGTGAAGTCTCTACTCGCTGGCATTTACTGTGACAAAAAGCATTGTGGCTTTGAAAGCTGCTTAAATCTACTATTATGCTTTTTATGGTAATGAGCAACACTGTCTAATTAAATCGAATGGAAAAAAAAGTAATTTAGGCAGTACAGTTCACTTACATGTCAAGGAGAAACATGGTAACCTAAGTGTCCCTTTTGCAACATTTCTCCTCCACTAGTTCCTTCCACTTGGAGAAGGCTTGTTTATCCTGATATTTTATTTTGGTTTTGTTCTTTTAAGTTCTCTTTTTCGCTTTGTCTGGGATGATGAATCCGTTTTTTGTGCTGCTGCTGCCTATGTTTGCTCCTGTATTGTGCTGAAGTAGTGCAAACTTTCAGTTGTTGAATCAGCATCTCCAAAAGATCTTCACCTCTGCCTCTCATGACTGTCCTGCCACCAACAAGAAACCTGTTGTTATTCTGCGTGTTAGTACCCCTTTATCCCTGTCTGTACTTTGAAGATGACACACTGCCATGGCGATTTAATAAAGAGTGACCAGCCTTATGCATAAACTAATTCAATATTCCTCTCTAACAACAATGTATCAAATTATAAGTGGAGGTAATGATGCACAAATAATAACACATATTTAAATGCAGTCATTTATTTCATGCAGTAAAAGAGAGAAATTGTTATACGTCATTTCAAATCTTGAGAAGCTTCATGTGTCTGAGTTAGGGATTCATAATCCCTAACTGCAGTGGGGATTATGCAGTGGGGGGGGGGGGGTGGATCCCTGACTGTTTTGTGTGGAAATATGTTGTTTGGAGGGAGGGAAGGAAGGAATTAAGATAATCCAGCAAACAACAACTGCAGAGGAGGAGTATAAATGCCAAACAGAAAAAAGAATGGAATAATCAACGGATTGGGAGCAGGCGTGGATAGAAGGAACTAGAAGGGAGCTAGGGGAAAGGAGAATGGCATAAGGGGGAACAGAGAGTAAACAAGAAATACATAAAAACTCGAGAACACCCAGAAAAACTAGAATGACATAAAATGGAAAACAAACCATCCATCCATTTTCCATCACCCTTCTCCCTGCTGGGTTTACGATGGGTGCCCGTGCCTAGCTGTTAATTAATCCCGCGAGAGGCGGGGCACACCCTGGACAGGTCACCAGTCTATTACATGGCAACACAAAAACTGAAAAAACAAACACTGTGCCACTGTGCAGCCAGAAAAGAAACCAATTACCTAGAAAACACAGAAAGACATCAAAGTGTAAATAAAAACTGAAAAAAACTTAAACAGAAACAGGAAAGGCAGAATCGTGACAGTTTGAAGGTGGTTGAAGTGTCTGTAACATGCTCTTACTCTCAATAAAGTCACAGCAGCCACAAAGATACGTTTTAAAATATTTATAATTTGAGCAAGGAATGAACACATGGCCTTCCACCATTCAAAAAAAATTTATGACTTACATACATACCTAAGATGAGTTAAACAGATTTCTGCAAGTCGCAATGGCGTAACGACACAACAATAGGCCAGTAAGCAACATTACATACGAAGTACAACACCGATTGGGACCCCCCCTCCTCTGCTGCCGCTGCCGTAGACTACAAACCAAAATGTGCCCCTAACATACACACTTCATCATTTCATCATTCCTCACCTTCACTAGAAATGGATATACTTTAGTGTATTTTGCTGGAAAATGAGTCTTATCGGGCTACCTTGAGTTTCACAGCTCGCCTCCTCACCCACACTCTCTCCATTCATCTCCTGGTCACAATCTTTACTCACTGTAGCAGCAACGTCCACCATTCCTTCTTTGATTCTTTGAAAGAACGTGTTTATTTTGGGAAGTTTTTTCTGTTCTTCCAGCAGCTTGCTTTTTCTTTTCTGGAATCTGCTTAAGTACCTCTTTTTGGTATCCATTGTCGCTAACACATTGTACGTAACGGTTATGGTTTTAATCTACGCTCTGGATTACCCATAATTCCAAGTCGTAGTCTAAAAATTAAAATACTCAAATACATTGTTCTTTTAGGATCTTTATTTCGATATGAAACATATTATAGGAGTGTATTTTTTACCAACCATCTAATGAACTATACAGTTATTAACATAGTAATTAAAAGTACCACTGCCTGTTTTGTTGTTGATGTCGTGTTTAAACAGCTCACCATTATGTTGAAATCTGGCATGTGTTGGGGTATAAATAAGGTCTGGTTGGTCAACCTAGCATCAGCTGGGTTTAAGACGAATTATTTGCACCATTACATTTGCAACGAGATGTCCTAGTCCACAATTGCGTAGGGGGGCAAACCAGGTGTCAATGACGGGGCCCTAAGAGGTCGGGGGCCCCCAAGCAACTGCATACTCTGCTTACTGATAGTTACGCCATTGAGTTAGAACCTATGAAACAACTGAATTATGCCTGACAGCAGCTCCTCCTGAATATTAGAGAAGTTCATCTGCATTCATTAAACATTTCAGCCTCAACCTGAGTCGGATTAATCATTAAATGCAGATATTTTTGTAAAATTATTTTTATAAAGAGCATTTTTATTCAAATAAAGACAGACCTTAAAGCTCATTTTGGTGACGCGAAAAGATATATTCCAAATACAAGCTTATTCTTAACATTTTTAAAAAGGTAGAACTGTTAAAAAACATTTCTACAGTGTCTATTTTTTCAACTTCAGACATTAATAAAAGTAGAAAACTAAAAATGTAAAAAAAAAAAAAAAAACAGTCAAAATTGTAACTGCACTGTTGCAGTAAACAACTTTTGTGTATGTTTGTGGGTTTTTGTGGTTGCTTTTCAGTGTAAACTATTGTGTTCTTGTTCCACTTATTTCCAGGACACCCTGTAGGTCAATGCTTGTGGTGCATATGTCATTGTTTAGGAGATGTTTCTAACTCATTGGTATTCAAGGAGATTTTTGGAGCTTGGAAGTCATTCAATGCGGCAATGAAACGGTTAAGAGTCACATGGTATCGGGTGGTATTATCAGCCTGGGGCTGCAAAAAAAAAAAAAAAGTGTATGGGAGAAAAAAAAAAACCTACGGGGAACAAAGAAATCAGAGTATATTTAAGGGGAAGTCTCCCTGGATCCTGGAGCCGTGTGGCTGTTGGATCTGACTGCACACCTCACCTCTGCCTGCTTGTGCACCTCCATCCAGCACGGCTCCTGACGGACGGCGCTGAGGATGCGGACTTCTCTGGTCGTGTGCTTGTGGGTGTTTGCGCTGCAGTGTTTGCAAAGCATGCTTGGCGCTCCAGTGCGCGGAGCCGGCAGGTACAAAGCGGCACCGGTGAGTTTCAGCTTTTAAACTTTATGTAGGAGATTTCTTTCTTCTCTTTTTAGGGTAAAAAGAGGAAACATCTTTGCACATCACTGCTGCCAATTATCTTTATTCAGCTGGATCCCCACCTCCACATGCAAGGATGCCTGGACATTAACGCGCAACAGGTTGTTAGAAAAGTGAAGTTTGCGCCTCATATGTTTGCTGTGTGAAATGTAATTACAGCAGTTCAGCAATCAGTCAGAATCATCAGGACAAATTGACTGATATGATTAGGAAAATGGTTATTTTGGCCCCCGCTGCTTTTGACCTGTCACTGTAATAAAACACAAAAGCTGTCCAAACCAAGACTATTATCACCATTTATCATTTTGTCTGCTCAGCATCAACAAAAACATGCTGTTTAGACTATGAGCATCCTAATAGATATATACCACATGCAGGATGACTTATGAGTGTCCCAAACTGCCAAAATGAAATAAAAAAATAGATAAATATAGATTAAAACTGTATCAACAAAGCGATCCATGTGAAATCACTGCAAGTGGTTTAAAAAAATGTATTTCCTTTGTTATTTTTCTCTTATCTGATAGTATAACAATGCACAATTATTCCTATTTGTTGGATTTATCAATTAGATCTTTGAATTATTTTACGGAATTTAGTCCCGTAAAAGTTTTTTTTCAGTGTTTAAAAGTTAAAAAGCGGAGTTCTTAACTCTGTCTTAGGCATAGCAATTCACTAAGTTTTACAAAGACTGACTGTATGTGCTCCTTTTTTTGTTTTTGCACTTCAGTTCTTGCTTTAAACCATCTGCTCGGCTTCGTTTCTCTTCTAGATGACGCCGTTGCAGGAGATACTCCCACTACATTTTTACCTTTCTCTGTCTTAGAGAGCTCTCCTGGATCAGTGCTCCTGCATTCCTTTCAGTCTGGTTCTGGTTTTTCTGGAGGTTACTTCATTTTGTATACACTCTGTGAATACAAAATGACAATAAAAGTTGTATAAGTCTTCCTGTTAAATGAAAGTTTTCCTCTCTACTGTTGCCACATGCATGTTCAGTATAAGAGATTACTGCAAAGTCTCTAACACAATGCCAGAACATTTCCACTTCTGCTACAGGCTCTTTTAGGAAGACTGAAGTCAGGCATGCTATGCAACCTGCTGATTTCTTTAGAAGGACACTTTAACCAATCTGCCTGATTGATGATGATTTGACTGGATTTAAATTTAAAGTGATTTCAAATAATAAGTGTTGTAGAATTGGCAGCATGAAAATTAGCTGATTTGATTTTGATTCAGAGGCTGATTTACTTCTGTATATATTATGATATATTATTGGAATACAAAACAACAGTGTTTGTGTTTTTTTTTCTTTTAGTAGATGCTAATTGAGATTGTTAATTTACCTACATCAAACACAATTGATAGATGTTTAGTTATATTGCACAATTAGGACAATCGTTCTAATGGTCTCTTGTAACACACCATCAGGGAGTAATCATACCAGGAATAAGTGCTTGGCAAAGGTTCCTAGATCTGCAGTGAATGTGAAATAACTGGCATTAGGGGACAAATGGACATGTTCTTTTTGGCTGTTTGAATAATACAGAGTTTGATGCATATGTGCACCAATAGGCATCAAGGAGTAAGCTTAATTAAATGTTTCACTTTTTTTTCTGCTCAGAAAATTTTCATTTCCAGGACTTCCCCTTAAAGTTTTTTTTTTTTTTCCTGCTTATCTTTAATTTGCTATTTTTGGTTTCTCTCTTTATTTTTTAAAAATGTGATCAAGTAAATTAGAAACTAGTAAAGCCATGACTATAGTGTTGATAGACTATATGAAGGCATAGATTTTTTCTTCTTATTATTTGTTATTATTTTGGCAGTTTTGATCCTCCATAAACAAGCAGAGTGTTGTGATTTCTGCAGCCAGGTCTGATCATTGGGGAGGAAAGAGTGAAGAAATCAAGGTTGCTGAGCTCCACTGCAGGCATGGCAGGAAGCTGTAATAACAGGCCTTAAAGGCATTTAGTCAACAACACCATAAAAAAAGAGGTCCAGCATTAGGAGCAGTCCTGATGGCGACAGTCGGTGGATTGTAAAATTAACTCATTACTATCTTTAATCTGCTCCTAAATCACATGCTGTAGTGATTATTGTATTCTGTCATTACAGGAGTCTCTTGTGTTTTGTTTACCACCCATCTGCCATCAAATTACAACTTCTATGGGTAAATATTTAAGCCCGTTTACAGAGAGTGGATTGTTTGGCATGCAGGCCTCCTTCAGAGGAATGTTCTGTTTACAGGTACACAGACAAAAACAGTTTATCAAGAGGAGGGAGCAGTTTGCGATGCACAGTGACTCAGAAGAATAAAGTTGTTACTGAGAATAGTTGTCAAGTTGCAGAGAAATGTTTGACCTATTTTAGGATGTGTGGTTTTTCTGGAGGTATCTGTAAATCATGCTTAGTAGAGGGTGCGGTCTATAGAAAAGCTGCAAAGATCCTGACAGGGAGAACCATAAATTCCTTAAGGTTGGAACATCTGTCAGCCAGGAAAGAACAAGCATCAAATGATCCGAGGTGAGAGATAAACAGGGACAGAGAAGGAACCGTTACCTGAAGCATTTATTTGGTGCTTTCACTAGATTTATATGCAGGTGAAGTCATGCCTGGACAAGTCTGGCAGCATCTAACTTTCATGATCACAAGAGTTTATTGGTAAGATGTGCTGGCATGGAGATGCCGTTTGGTGTTTATTGGTCTGATGCCCGTGGACAGAGTGGCCCTGATAAAGCCCACCGCCCAGGGCAGAATCAGCTTTTGAAGAAATCACTTATTTTAGCTCTTTTAATGTTCAATTAATGATGAGGCTACAGCCCAAAATGAATACAGGTGTCCGTGTGCAACAGCTGCAACTGCCTGATATGGGGCTCCATTGTGATTTCTGAGCCATCTTTTAATACTCTGTTCTTGCAGGCAGGGAGCTAAAACCCTAAAATAGTCGCCATGAAAGGCTGGACATGACATTCAATCGTGCTTAGTTCCAACTGGGTGGTACATGTCCAGGTAACACCAACATAGGTGGTAGGGCCCAAGGTTTAGCAGAGCCTTACTCGCATCCCCATAACGCATGGCGAGGCGATGTGTTCCTCAGCTAGCCCAGGCACACACATTCAGCCATTCATCCATGTGATGTCAAAGAAAACACCATTCATCAAAGTCAGGAGACATTCTTCTAGCGCTCTGTGATCCAGTTCTGATGCTCATTGTTAAAGCTTTTGGCAATGGACAGGGGTCAGCATGGCCTCACTGGCTGGTTTCCAGATATACAATTCTCTGTGCCACAAACAGATATACTGTATGTTTTGACACCTTTCTATTAAAACCAGTGGTAACCTCATCAGAATTTTGAGCTAGAGAAGTTCATCTGTTGGTTCTGACCACGTTTCACTCCTCATGTGTGAATAAATCAGAGCCAACCACGACCCTGTCCCTGCAGCCCCTCTGCTACCTCTTTATAATACCGTATTTTCCGGACTATAAGCCATTACTTTTTTCCCACGCTTTGAACCATGCAGCTTATAAGAAGGTGCGGCTTTTCTGTAGGTTTTTCCTAATCACCAGAATGGGAAGTTAAAGTTGGAAATGAATTAATTCAATTCAATTCAGTTTATTAATATATCGCCAATTCACAAAACATGTCATCTCAAGGCACTTTACAGATCATACAGTCAAATTGATTCAAAGTTTTCTATCTAAGGAAA